ATCAAACTACAGTTTAAAAATCAACCACATAGATGATTTCTGCAGTTTTATTGGAATTAGTTATTTACAAAGTGAACCGCTGCGATGTGACACAGCTTATCATACGGATCATGAGTGTCTCTATTGTGACAGCACCGTCGGCATTATTGATGAGTTACAACTGGGTTGATTTAATGACTCAGTCATCAAACTGACATTCATGCTCAGTCTTCAAATCCACATAAAGCAAACTCGGATTATTGGCACATGCTTACAAATTTTAAAATTTCAAGTAAAAATCGTGTGAACACGTTAAATCTGTTGTAATCACTAGCTGCAATTATTTATAAACGTCCCTTCCCTCCCATTATAGAAAATAAGCAGTTCAATATGCTCAGAAAAAAACACTTGGTTTCACCTTGAAGGCATCAGCAGAACTGGAAAAACAGAAAAACAAACGAGCATTATAAAAATGTCTTTTAAAAACAAAATCCAGAGGAGCTGTTGAGGAGAGACGTACCTTCCAGCGGTTGCCACACTCGTTGCACAGAACAAATGTGGTCATTGGCTCATCAGCGCTGCGTGTCTGCACCTAAAACAAACACACATGGGAGGTTTGCTGTGAGCAGAGCACAACATTGAAGCAGTTTACACAATCCAGAGCTGAATAAAGCTGAATAAAACACAATCAGCTGGGATTATTTATGAAATATGTCACTACAGTACAGGCCTCTCATAGCTGTACATGCACACAAATATCACTTATTAACCAGTTCAATGCAGCTTATTTACCACTGTGTGTAACATTTCTCATCATTGTACTACAACTGAAAGGAAAACAGCAGGTGAAAAACTGCTTTGTTATAGTCGAAGTGCACAATATATCTTTTAGCGTCGTGATCAAATTGGAAATGAACCTGAATACAACACGCTGTGACTTCTTCTGTGCTGCTTGACACAAGAAGAAACTTCACGTGTTTCTCGTTTCAGTGACTAATCTACAACACCGGTCTGTCTCATAGAACTGAATTTACCACATGTGAACAGTGAAGTGAGTGAGAAAGAGGAGAGAAACACTGAAAAGGGAGATTTGGTTGCAAAAAGAAAACCAAACATCAATTGAGTGGAAATTTTTTTGGCGATGGAAAAGATGATGTCGACCAAAAAATTGGCACCGTGTTGGCAGCATCTTACAATCGTTGCCACCACACGAGGCAGCGTGACCAATTTGTTTGACCGTTTAAATCAGCATCAAAAAGATCTGAATGCCAAACGCAGCCAAGAAGCTTTTTTTTTTTTTTTATGGCTTTGCCAGAGTTGCGCCACATAAGAAGGATTTTTTTCTCTTTTTCGATACAGATGCACTTTCCTACAAAATCACCCCAATCATTCTACAATGATTCATTCTTTCCAAATAGTTATTCAAACCAACGGATGCCTTTTTTTTCATATTGCAATAAATATGAATCACAGCAAGACAAAATATTGCTGCCAGTTTTTTCCTAGTATCATGCAGCCCTATGTTATAGTATCTATTCCAAATCCTTAATAAATACCCATCAATCTCACTCAAAAACACACATCATAGTTGGGTAAAGGTGCTACTCTCTCTGATCTTTTTCTATCAATGCACGTGTTACACGAGGTAAAATATTTTGAAGTTCCACCTTAAGCTAAAGTTGAAGTTACGTTACAGTGGAAATANTGTCTGTTCAGATTGTACATGCAACGTAACTCTGGAACATTTGCTCAGCTTATATACTTTTTGCTTTAGTTAAGTTTTGGACTCATTAGATTGTTTTTGTTTTTCCAAAACTAGAAACTGATAAAAATGTCAGAAGTAATGTGCCAGAATACCATCAACAATAGTCCAATAAATATAATGTAGATACAAACAATACTTTAAACGGTGTTATGATATCAAAAGTGTGCAAAGAGAATCTGAATGAGCCTGACTGTCGATGGAGGTGGAACAAAACATCAACACAGCAACACATCCTGCTGCTCGGTCTTGTCGTCCAGCTGATTTGTGCCAAATCTGAGGTGAAATGTTGACTTTTACATAAAAGCATGAAACTTGGTTCACTTGTACAGTTTGGGCCTGGATATTTTTAAAAATAGAGCCAAAGCAAAAACACTTATTTTACTTTCTGCCCTATTTCATGAACCAAACATACAGCAGAGGTGATGTCTGTTTGTCTGTATGTTTATGATGATGAAACATCAGAAACTGTTCAGAGACAGTGTGAGAAGGACATCACAGCATCTGAGGACGCAGACGAGATGTTGTTGCATGTTGTGTAGAATTAAACAGTTGAAACCTTTTGTTCTTTAGCCCTGACAACACAGTGACTGTAAAGAGTTGGCTAATATTCAATATGACCTTAGTTTAAAAAGAATGCATCAAACATAAATATTCACTTAAAAATATTTCAAGTGTACACATCAAAAATTTTAATTGAATTGATATAAAGGTTTGCAAGACAGCCATCTAAAAAACATCAGAAAATGTGTGCAACTGAAGGAAAAGAATAAAAATCAGGATTTACGTATTTGATGGAAAAAATACTGAGGATTATTTTTCTGTTTCTCCATGTGGCTTCCAGAGATACGCTACTGACGTGGGAAGCTACACTCCTACCACAGCGAGCTACATTCCTCTGACGGATGAAAGAGAAATGAATGATGCAGTCCCAAGCAAAGTGAAACCGAAACTCAAAAAAATCCTGCCGTGATAAGAAAAGCAAACTGTCCAAAACAGAGAGGACTTGCCCCTCCATAGGAGGCGTGATCAGAAGAACATAAATACTGACAGCTCGGGGAGCTCCTCTCCCATAACCCTGTGCTGTGTGAGAGTCTGTGAACTGCTGAATAAAGAGACTTCAGCCTCCTTGTTTTGAGAGTGGTGATTCTTTCTCACCCACATTGTGCTGTCCATGTGTGTGATCATCAGGCTGAGGATTAACGGGATACATGGAACAGCGTTATGTAATTAGGACACACAAAAAAAAAGTTACATTTCATAAAAATGGAGATTATTGGTTGCAATTTCAAAACTGATATTTAAATCGGCCATAAAGCGATCCGTGTATTAATATAACACTGTTGTCAACTTAACACCCATTGTTCAGTCTATGGTCCATACAGTAGATTACTGTAGATGATTGTTTTGAAACGCATCAAGTGTTGCAGCATTACTGACCCACGTCATGAAGGTACCATGATATCATGGTCAATGCGGACTGCTGAAGCTTATAGGGAAT